AAAGCAAATGTATGAAACTCAATGCTCATGTCTTTAAACTTTTAATGAGAGAGAGAAAAAAAGAGAACACTTTTAAAAGAAAAATAATTCATCGAAAACAATGCAAGTGACACAGACAATTGTCACATATTTATTTTGAGAGATGAATTTGACTTCATCTGTGCCAGCCACACAGCTGGAGGATGAGTATGTGGAGACTTTTGTTTCACAGAGTGTGTCTGCTCCCGAAGCAGTAAAATCTAAATAAGTCCTTGAAAATCGAAGTGGGGCATTAAAGACAGTATCTCATAAAATCGAATTCCCGTAAACCAAATGGCAGTCTGTCATTTGTAAATGTTGGTAATAGTAAAAATAATAACAGTGCTTGTAAAATAATAATAAAGGTACAATTTATTTTACTTTTTAATGTAATTTTATCTTTTTATTAAATACAGTTAATATACAATATTATATTAGTTACAGATGTACAACATAGTTATTCAACATTTATATCCCTAATGAAGTGATCACCACCATAAGTCTAGTAACCATCTGACACAGTTACAATTTTTTGAGTTTTTACAATCCGCTTGGCATTTATGGTTAAAATGAGTAATCCATTATCTATCCAGTCCTTGTTTTCTCTGATTTGGTCACATTTAAGGTCATCTGCACTGTTGGACAGAGAATGTGATGAGTAAGGACTATTTAATTTAATTCTTGTATCTTATCTTAGATGCTGTTTACCCTTTTAGCTATCAGTGGTATAGAGCTGAGGAGGTGGAAAATTGAGAGAAAGGGTGTAAATTAAACTCTGGATTAAAGCCCAAGGAGATTACATGGACAGTCAGATTTCCATTTCAATTAAAAATAATTTAAAAGTACTTTTCTCTGTTATGGAGTTTGTTTGGATTCAGAATGCTTTTTCTGGATTTATTGCTATCAGAGCCAATGTTTCAGGTTATTTACTATACAAAGAGAAAACGTGTTCATAAATGTATACAGAGCTATGTATTTTCATTTATAATTCAAGTTGTCACGGTCAACTTGAAGATTTTTTAAATCGCAATAAACTCAGAAAATGTTGCCAGTAGTGATCATGGTAAATTTATGTAAAACTGCGACTATCCACCAAAGAGCCACTATTTATAGACTCATATCAAAATGTAATTGGCTTATCTCTTTGTCCAGGGTGCACTCAGCCAAAATGTATTATTTACTAAGAACATGAAAACCTACCACCAAATTAAGTGTATTTGTATTTGTAGCCAACATTATTCATTTAGCCAAAGTGAACAGTTTAAAGGCTATGCACCCATATGAATCATTAGGTTAAATGTTCACAGTGATACTCTTAATAGGGACTCACCTTTTTGAAACTCTAATATTCATGTAACTAGATTATTCATTAGCAAATGTGGGTAATAAATACAGTTACAACCTTAGGTTGCATTCGTTGGTGTTGACCGAGACAGGAAGTTTTTTGTGAAATACCCAAAGAGGCTGTTGAATCAATTTAGTATTATTAACAAAGGAGTTAATATGATACTCAATGGGTTGTATTAGATTATTTTTCTAGTGGTTTAAAAAAGTTTGAATTTCATAATCCAAAAAAAATTGCCAAGAATGAGTACTTAAAAAAAAAAAACCTTCTATTTTTACCATCATTTCATAAAACACTGGACAAGAAAGTACCTGACATGTAGTCCAGCTAATTCAATAAATGTTAGTTGAATAAACAGATGAATGAATGAACAACAAAAAGTTGTGATGATATAATTTCAAAATAAAAGAAGCCTTTAAATGGAATATACTTATTTACAAGAAAAGCTAAATGCACCACCCCTAACGTTCCAATTTCCCCATGCCCCAGCAAACTTTTTACAACCTACTGTGAACCCACAGTAGGTTCTGCTACGGGAGCTGTTACATAGACTAGCAACTAAATAGTTCAAAGTTAACTGTGTTCTTGACCTGCTGCTTATTCCACATTCACTTCACTCCCCCACCCCCCTCACCCCACCATTTATTGAGGACCTACTCAGCCAAACACATGGTAGTCTTGGATTCCAGGGTGCCAGAATGAGTAAGACACCATCTGTGCTCCCAAACTGAGTGACTTAGTTGGGGAAAGAGATGTGCTCCCCTACCCAAAAAACAAACAACAACAAAAAAACCCAAAGCATATTCCTATAATATGGTAAGTGACAAAAAGGTGGAGAAAATTCCTCTTCATCAAATTTCATATATGCTAGCCCCATTTTTTGCTCAATATAGTTAGATAGGTAGATGGAAAGATAGATAATTCTATTTCGTTACAGGTATGGGAGGTTTTCTATATTTTTCAATTTTTAAAAATGAACATGTAATACTTTTTGGATCAGAAAAATAAGTTTTACAAACTAGAATTGGATTTAGAAGTGCTAATACATTCTTCCATCCCAATATCCATGTCATTATCTACATTTAAACGCTAAGTAAATAATATGGATAAGACATTCAGGAATGTACAAATATTTATGAAGTGTTGACATTTTGTCACCTCATACAGAGGCCACTGTTCTTCATGTTTATTGAAGAACTATATAAAAATTTTTTTATTTTTAAAATGCAGATAGAATGGTTTCTTAGACATGGCACCAAAAACACAAATGACAAAAGAAAAAATAGGTTTAAAACGCTAGAAATAGAAAAGTAGACATCATCAGAATTAAAAACTTTTGTGCTGCCTAGGATACCATCAAGAAAGTGAAAAGACAACTCACAGGATGGGAGAAGGTATTGGCAAATAATATACCTGATAGAGGGCTTGTACCTAGAATACATAAACAACTATTACGAGTTAATAATAAAAAGACAATTCATGAAGAGAATGAGGGGCAAGCCACAGAATGGGAGAAAACGTTTGCAAAAAACATCTGAAAATGGACTGTTATCAAAAATAATACAAAGAACTCAAAACTCAACAATTAGAAAAAATGAACAACCTGATTTTAAAAATGGGCCAAACACTTGAACAGATATCTCACAAAAGAAAATATGCAGATGGCAAATAAACATATGAAGAAATGCCAAACATCATTTGCCATTAGGGAATTATAAGTCAAAACAATAATATTAATATATCACTACACACCTATTTGAATGTCCCAAATCTAAAACACTGACAATGCCAAATGCTGGAAAGGAAATGGATCTCTCATTCATTGCTGGTGGGAATGCAAAATGGTACAGCCACTTTGAAAGATAGTTCGGTAGTTTCTTATAAAACTAAACAAACTCTTACCATATGATCTAGCAGTTGTGCTCTTTGGTATTTACCCGAAAGATTTGAAAACTTATGTTCACAAAGAAGCCTGCACATGGACGTTTATAGCTGCTTTATTCATGATTGCCAAAACTGGGAAGCGACCAAGATGTCCTTCAGTAGGTGAATGGAAAATTAAACTGTGATGCATCCAGACAATTGAATATTATTCAGTGCCAAAAAGAAACGCGCTATCAAGGCATGAAAAGAAATGGAAAAACCTTAAATGCAAATTACGAAGTGAAAGAAGCCAATCTGAAAAGGCTATAAGTATATGACATTCCGGAAAAGGCAAAACTATGAAGACAATGAAAAGATCAATAGTGGCCAAGATTAGGGAGGATGGAGGGATGAATAGATAGAGCACAGAGAATGTTTTGGACAGTGGACTATTTTGTATGATATTATAATGGCAGATACATATCATTCTACACTTATCAAAATCTATAGAATATACAATACCAAAGGTGAACCCTAAAGTAAACTATGGACTTTGGATGATAACGATGTGTCAATGTGGGTTCATCAATTGTAACAACTATACCATTCTTGATAACTGGTAGTAGGGGAGGTTGTGTGTCAGGGGAACAGAAAGTGTATGAGAAAACTCTGTACTTTCTGCTCTGTAAATCTAAAACTTCTAAAAATAAAATCTATTAAAAAAAGACAAGTCAATGAAGAAATGGACAAAGGATCTGGATAGGCACTTCTCCAAAGCAGATATGCAAATGGACAATAAGCCCACAAAAGCGTGCTCGACATCACTAACCATCAGGAAGTGCAAGTCAAAACTGCAGTAAGATACTACTTCCCACCCATTAAGACAAGTGTAATAAAAAAGATGGTGACAAGTGTTGACATGGATGTGGAAAAACTGGAACCTCCTACACTGCAGTAAATGGGAAGGTAAAATGGGGCATCCTCTTTGGAGAAGAGTCTGGCGGTTCCTCAAATCATGAAATATGTAGAGTTACCACGTAATCCTGCCATTCTATTCCTAGCTATAAACCCAAGAGAAATAAAAAAAGATGTGTACAGTCAGCACCATAGTCGATTTGAGAACATTTTCATCACCTCAAAAAGAAATCGCACACATCAGCTAACATGCCCCAGCTCCCTAGACCCCTTCTAGTACTGGCAGCCACCAACCCACTTTGTCTCTACAGATTTCCTTGTCCTGGATATTTCATATGAATGGAATCATATATAATAGGTGATCTCTGCATTATTTTTGCAATTCTCTGTAAGTTTATAATTATTTTTAAACAAAAAGTTAAGAAAATGAATGGATGTGTTACTATGGAATGACACTGTGCCGGGCATTGGAGACATAGAACTCAATGAAACCATGATCACTGCCCGAAGGAGCCGAGAGTTTCGTAGGAAAAGCAGAGAAGTAAATGGACAACGAGGGTACAGTGTGATAAGGACTCTGATGGAGGAAAAATAGGGACTAAGACAACACCAGGAAGAGTATCACTTTGACTGTGGGTAAAGTCAGGCAAAGTTCCCCCAGAGAAATTGATTAGCAGAATTTTAAAGTGCATGCCACGTGGAAAGAATTTGGGACTATGTGTGGATGACAAGTTCATGTGGCATCTGTAGAACTAGTCTCTTTCTTAAGACTTTTGCCCCTGTTGCCTGAAGTCTTCTGGCTGCAGTGGTTGGTTGCCAGGGCGCTGGACAGTCCTCATCTGTTGTGTCTTCTTTCCAGTGTCCAACAAGCACCCATTCGTGGACAGCAATCTTCTCTACCAGTTCAGAATGAACTTCCGGCGGAGACGAAGACTGATGGAGCTGCTCAATGAAAAGTCCCCCTCCCAGGAAACCCATGACAGTCCCTTCTGCCTGCGGAAGCAGAGCCACGACAATCGGAAATCTACCAGTTTTATGTCAGGTATGACAGTCCCGTTGTTTATTTGCGCACATGTTTTTGTCTTTTGAGAAGCAGGAGAGTAATAACTTCCTTTTGTGAAATTCTGTTTTCCAGCAAATTTTTATTTATTCATAACCAATAAATATGCAAAATAATTTTAAAAACACAACTACATTGTTCCCTGGGCAGTCAACTTAAATGTCATGAAGTCTGTCTTATAAAATTATGTATTTGAATTATAGAAGACCTCTCAAAGCTCTCACTCATACATTATTTACTTTTCACTTATAAACGATTCTTGCATATCATTAATTATCTAGTTTTCTAAGTCACAGCATTGAAAAGCTATGTGTTTTAAGGATGAATAGGACTTCTGAGGGCATGTGCAACTAAAAAGCAACCGACTGTCAATCCGTCGTGCAAGGGTGACACAGGACAAAGAAGAACTATGAAAAGCAGACGGAGGCTTAGAAAGCACAACAACCTGGGACATTACATGTCAAGGTCAAACAATCTTATATTTACAATCAACCCCGACAGAATTGATGGTGTTTGTGTCTGATGTTCACAAACACAACCCCACTCATCCAGAAAAGGTTAACTTGATGTGTCGCTCTGTGTAAGAGGCCGAGGGGCTTAAAGTGGTATCTTTAGCTCCTCCGAACACTTGGCGTTGACTCAAGGAACTGGTTGGCCTAAGCTTTGGAAGCTCTGGGCTTAACCTGAAACTCAGGGCTAAATGAAAATAGGTGTCTGGGTTATGTACAGGAAGTGACAATGAGAACACTTGCAACTGTATTGAGAACGTCTGTGCCTCTGGCGCCGAGCCAAACTTGGTTGCATAAGCTTTCTTATTTAATTCTCACAATAACTCTGAGGAAAGACTTTTCTTATAGGTGAAGGAAACATTCGCCAAGGCCAGGAGCCTAAGCCTGTGCTTAGACACAAGCCACTTGTGTGCTCTTGAGTTGTGGTCTTCTGCAGGGCGATGCTCACATTCTCCATAGTCCAGAGGTTTGCCTGTTTCTTACATGGGCCCAGCGGACCTGCATAAGTGACAGTGGTGGTCGTCACCATCAAGCCAGCATTTATTTTGTGCTTCCCATGTGCCGTGGCAGAGAGAAGTGGGTCAGCTCACTGAAGCTGCGGCTTCGTGTGCACTCTCAAAGCCTGAATACGTGCCCTGTATTTTAATCTCTTCCATGGCTCTGGGTGATTCATGTTTCATAATAAATCAGGGGGCATTTATTAGTACTGTTAATATGCGAAGCGTATAGCCAGCACTTAAGTTACTTCTTTCCAAGGACTGCTCAACATAGGGCCAGTAGTTCTTGAAATAATGTTTTATATAGTTGAGTCCTTTCATGCACACACATAATCTACTCCTCGCATCAATCCAGTGAGTTCGCATTATCCCCACGTTAGAGTTAGGGAAATCGAGGCTCAGAGAACTGAAGGGAATGGCTTCAGTTTGCGCTATTGGTAAGTGGCAGAGCTGCTATTTCATCTTTGCTTTTTTGACTCCAAGGCCAGAGGGCTTTTTTCCGGCACAGGCGACCCGCCCGTCTGTATCTCACGGCTGAAAGCCCGTGTGCTCTAGGGACCCGAGACCACCCCCATCGGTGACTGTGTGTTTTCCGCCCGCACAGTCAGCCCCAGCAAGGAGATCAAGATCGTGTCTGCGGTGAGAAGGAGCAGCATGAGCAGCTGTGGCAGCAGTGGCTACTTCAGCAGCAGCCCCACCCTCAGCAGCAGCCCCCCTGTGCTCTGCAACCCCAAGTCTGGTGAGTGGCCCTTCTCAGGCGAAGGGAGAATGGGGATCTTCTTACAGCGAGCCCCTGGGGTCAGCGCCTATCGAGTGGAGGGAAGCGCGTAGGTTTGGGCAGAGGGAGAATCGGGCTGCAGTGCAATCTCAATAAAGTCTGCAGCTGACCCCCGGGGAGCTCTGGCGTTGGGATGGCCCTTCCGTGTTGTCCCTACTTGGGGTGAGGCGGCCAGGCCTTTATACCCTCATACTGAATAGTCTTTAAATGTTGGCTGCCCCTGGGAGGAGGGCATGACCTTGGGCAAGGCAGCTGTCTTCAGAAAGATAGTTCCAAACACAGTCGAGGGTTGTCTTAGCACTCCGAAGACTGCCTGCCTTTAGCGGTCCCACCAGCTGGAGAAGCCCCTCAGCCGGTCCTGAAGGAGAGTTTGAGCAGCCTGTTCGTGTTCCCTACAGTGGCAGAAGCAACTCTTCCTCAGGCTGCAAATGCTGCAAAAATCTGTCAGGTCCCAGCTCCCCTGAGGAAGAAACACAGTCTGTGCAAACCCAGTGGCCCCTGGAATTGACTCTTGGTGCCTTGTGCTTTCAAACTCTACGCGTCAACATCCACAGCCTTTACATTTCAGGGGGTAAAAATCTAGGCACGAAGATTGTTGATGAACTTGTACTTAGAAATAATTCTTCATTGACCTAAGCAGTTCTTCATCCCCAAAGGAACCAGGAACCCATTGATACTACCACTTCGTCACTGTCTCTTACCCACCTCCTTGCCAGGATTGGATTACGTGGCCCATCATGATAATCATTGCCATGAAAATACCCTCAGCTCCATTTGTTTAGTGCCCTGCCTACTGTCAGTTCAGTATGCCAACCTCGGGGAAGGGACTGCTCCTTTCATTCACACTGTTTTCTCAACACCAGATGTTGGGGATACAAAGATGAGAGGTCACGACCCCTTCCCTCAGTGAACACATACATCACTCTAGAGGAAGAAAAAAAATGAGGCATTAGAGAGAGTAAAGACAAACAGGTGTCGTTCAAGGGCTTTAAGAGAAAACTGTCCTTGAACGCTATTAACTGGGTTTTTTAGTGGATATTTCTGTTCATCTATTTTAGCTGCCTTCTGGAGGATTCACTCTGAGAAAAAAAGTTGTAACTTTTAAGTGAATGAAGAAATTTGCTTCCACGCCAACTCTGGCTGGAAAATCATTGTGTGCCCATAACTACAATGGAGCATTTCTGATAAGTTAGATTGAGAAAGGAGAACTATATTCTCAGAAATAGAATGTTTGATGCCCTGATAGAAATCTGACAGAGATCCTCAAAGTTAGAAGCATAAAAATTCCTTTCAGAAAATGTGCTAAAGCCATTTTACATGTTTTTGTTTGTTTATTGCATGCATTAGTAGAATATAAACAAAGTGTTAATTACTTAAATTAACTATACATCCCCTGAGATAGGTTTTTATTGTTTCCTCTTTCTCCTTACCCATCGGCTTAAAGGGAAAAGTTTACTGATGTACAGACAGAAAAGAAAGGTCAGATTGCCTTTTTTGGGTCTCTGAGGACCAGAGCCGTTAGGACTTCACTGTGGTCTATAATGTAAGTCCTACCTCCCACCCATATTCTGACAAACTTCTACCTCACTCTTAAGAGGGATCTAAGGATGCAGTAAGGCTTTGAAAATGAATCATTATACTATATACATCAGGATATGTAATTTTAGTACTATATATAAATGCCCTATGCCAAACAAAAAAAAAGTGCTACAGATATTACCATAATTGGTATCATTGTGATGAGTAAATACATTTCCAAGGATACAAAAAGAGAAAGCTAAAAGATAATTCCCTAGACTCTAAGGTTTCTTGAACATATTTCAACATAAGAAAGAGAGAAAGTGTATGAAAATAAATGGTCAGTATTGTTGCCAAATGTTACAGTGCAGTGATTCAAAACCACAGTGAGATATCACGTCATACCTGTTAGGATGGCTGTTATCAAAAAGACAAGGAATAACGATCGTGGGTGAGGGTGTGGAGAAAAGGGAACCCTCGTGCACTGTTGGTGGGATTGGAAATTGGTGCAGCCACTGTGGAAAGCAATATGGAGGTTCCTTAAAAAATTAAAAATAAAACCGCCATATGATTCAGCAACTCTACTTCTGGGTATTTATCCGAAGGAAACCAAAACACTAACTCAAAAAGTTATCTGCACCCCCATGTTCATTGCAGCATTATTTATAGTAGCCAAGACATGAAAGCAACCCAAGTGTTGATCATTGGAAAAATGGATAGGGAAAATGTATGTGTGTGTGGGTGGGGGGTGTATAATGGAATATTATTCAGCCATAAAAAGAAGGCAGTCCTGCCATTTGTGAAAACACGGGTAGATCTTGAGGGCATTATGCTAAGTGAATTAAGTCAGAGAGAAAGACCATTACTATGTTGTCTCACTTATATGTGACATCTAAACAAACAAATTCATATATACAGAAACCAGATTGGTGGTCATCACAGGCTGGGTGGAGGGGGGCGGTTGGGGAAAATGGATGAAGGTATTCAAAAGGTACATACTTCCAGTTATAAAATAAGTCCTGGGGGTGTCATGTACAGCATGGTGTCTATAGTTGATAACACCACATTGTATATTTGAAAGTTGCTGAGAGAGTAAATCTTAAAAATCCCATCATGAGAAAATAAAATTTGTATCTGTGTGTGGTGATAGATGTTAACTAGACTTATCACTATTTTGCAGTATATACATATATTGAATCGTTGTTGTTTCATGGCCATTCTATCTCAATTTAAAAAAGAGAGAAAGAGTATTACAATAAATGGTTAGTATTATTGCCAAATATTACAGTACAATGTGATTCCTATATCCACATCCTAAACCCCGGAAGGCATTGGTGGGGGGCGAGAACGGACTTGTCTGACAGGGGATTAACCGTCTCAGCGGTCAATGGTGGACCTTTCCCTTCAGTCCTGTTCCCTTGCAGAGAGGTTCTGTTCTTGATATTCGAGCTACTCCCTCTCGTTTGGGAACATAACTTTATTTTCTCCTTTATGAGCTTTCTGAAAGAAAAAGTAATAATCCCCATTATCTCAGCCAGAAGTGCTTCGTTGCCTTTAAAGGGCAAGGTGTTTGCTGGGCAGGAAGGACGCACGTGTGGCCAGCAGGCAGAGCCCGGCCACCTGGCGGGTCATCCCGGCCTCGCCTCACGCCGTCTGTTCTTTTTCTGCTGCACGCCTACTTTACAATTGGCACGTGGCCTTCACATGCCACCGGCGAAGGGAATTGGAGGCTGGCGCTTTACTAGGTTAGGCCCCTGGCCCTGGCCCCTCCAGTTTCTTTGTGACATTCAAGCTCATGATGTCTGTATAACTTGGTTAGGAGGGTCCCTGTCCCCCTGCCCCACTGGCTGCTCTAGGCAGCTGTGGCTGTCTTTTTCTCAGCTCTCAGTGAGCACAGGATGGTTGGGGAAGTTCATTATCGGTGGGTTTTAGGTCATCGACAAGTCATGAGTTGGCTGCTGTCTTTGCCATCTGAGTGGGCAACAGCGGAGAGCTGATGAGAACAGGTGTCCCAAGAGGTCAACACACCGCCCCCTTCCGGAGCTTCCGAGCCCTTTCTTCTGCTACAGAGACAGCATAACAAGGGAGAGACCACAACACCTGGACGCAGCTATTTAACTTTTCCGAACTTCTGTTTTCTCACTAACAAAATAAGGACAATGAGGAACCGAAGTCATTAGTTCTGGTGATGACCGAATGAGATAATATATTTAAAGCACCTAACATAGTGCCCAGCACATGCTGAGCTGGCAGAAAAGTTTACTAGTGTTATGATTCAAGGCAAAAGGCAGTGTGCGCATGCGACCCGGGGTGTTAAGAAGGAAACAAGCTCTGGTGTATGGGACGCATATAGTACGTCTGGGCAGCGGGTTGTATGGGGTCAACTCTTGAACGTGACTAGAGTTAGGTTTTCTCTTAACTTTGACATGTCGAATGCATATCAGAATTTAAAAGAAAGAAGTGCAAAAACTAGAAAATGTGGCCTTTTTCTTTATAGAAAAAATTT